TTTGTTATTTTTCTCTGTCCAACACCAGACAATTTTACTTGTCAAGTGTAAGGTTAAGTGAGTAATAAAAAGTGGCTGGATATTCTAACTTTTGTCCCATATAATTGGACTTTGGTTGTGAGCAAAATGTAAAAAGACAATTACCAGTAATACTGGCCTTACTACATCCCTATTATTTACCTTGCAACCTTGAGCAGTTGTGCTGTTACAGCAGAATGTGGTTTCAAATGACAGTTATTTTATGGCAATTATGATATTCCAGTGTGCCAGTAAGACATTTGTCGTTTGTTTCTCTTTTAGTATTATATCTAAAAGGTGATTGCAGGGTATTCAGATCCTGGAGTGATGTGAAATGGCCCTGACCTTGGGCAATTAAGTAATATATGATAATATGAGTGGTGTAAAATAGGAAATTTTTTATTCATTCTGATTGACTAATAAAATTAGAATGGTGAGAATAATGATGATGATGGTAGTGAAATACAAGTTGTGATGATATTGGTGATGCACAAGTTGTAATGATACTGCTGATAATGATCAAAAATATATTGTATTTGTAATGAGACATAAATAATAGATTGGCAGTAATGAATGTGTATGACTTGATCAATTGTGCTGGTGAGAAGGCAATATATTGCCACCTAGATGAATTAAGTCCCATGCCATTTTGTGTTCAAAACTAACTGTTCTCATCAGCTCCAAGCATAACTGGGAAAGCTGGTTTCAATCCTGTTAGCTGATCTTGAAACTATGTGCACACATATAAATATTTATTTTTCCCCTCATGAATTATATTGTTTGCCCAAAATATCGGTTGATTATTTCATCTAGAAACAGTGTGAATGTTGTTTGAATTTGGTATGTTCACTCTGTGACAAGTGAAAGTGATATGTAATTCATGCATAATATGGTGATTTTTGGTTTCAGGATGTAAAAAATGAAATTTACTTACTGATAAAATTCAGTGTATAACCATATTCATTAAGCCTCTGTGTCTCTCTTAGAAGCCCTACCTGCTCAATACAAATAAAACTCTGCATAGTGACTTGTGCCGTGGCTAATATTATGTTACAGCTTTGGTTCAAATTTCATAAATCATGAACCGATGTACAGTAACTGCAAATGTAAACAAATAGGTGAACGCACACCCAGTATACAGACTGTTATTTGCCTTTAAGACTCCTAAGTCACATATCACTGATATAAGATTCATAGTAAATTTGTTGTTTCAAGATCACTGTATATTATTTCTCAGGATTCGTACCCCCCTCCCCCCCTTCCAGACAAACAGAAATATAGATGATACATCCCAAAAAATAAATATGAAATTAACTCACACACACAAAGGTTTCAAGATACTGTGTATAATTTCATTCACAACTGTATTTTAAACTACATACATACGGAAACCAACCTGTCACTCGACCAGTTAATTGTTTCAAAATATTCTGCTTTGATATTAACTACATGTTTAATACACATGAAGAATTTCGTTTCCATAGATGTCCCCTCTGATTTATCCTTCCATAAAAGTACAATAAAATCCCAAGTGATATTCTTTGGTCAATACATAAAAATTACTTATAATCAACAATGTTTATTTAATTCTTTATAAAACGTCGCACACAAGCAGCTGCATTGGATACAAAATAGACAGTTTAAAGACAGATCACTCGACTAGTTTTCTCTCAGTTTGATCTTCGTCCTTCGATCTTTGATAAGTATTACCGTTAGCTATTCCACAATTTGTTGAAAGAAAGCTCGTAGAATGCATAGATAATATATACCCACTCTTAAATCTCACTAGGAAAGTTTTATTTATCATAATAATATAAAAACTCGAAAACGTCGCGCCTTCGCGCTGCCATGTTTGATAAAATCAATCGGCTCCGCTCCCCCCCGGATTGAAAACTAAATTATTACGAAATGTCCAATATTTTTGGAGTCACATGACCAGTGTTTACCAGGGCCTTTGCTTCCCGTACCAGAGCCTCTGAACCGCGCAAAGGCCCTGGGTACGAGGTTGGTTTCTCCCGAGAGGCCTTCACGCGCCGGGGACGAGGCTGGGACGCTTACATTCCAGAAATATTTAGATTCAATCCAATATGACAATAAACCATTATTACGCAAGATTGGTTGATTCACTTGATTGGTATTAATATGGTGTGTATTCAAAATGGCGAAGAATGTGAAAAGAAAAAACATCAACGGCAATTCTTCGGCTTTAAAGAACTTTCTAGCTGGTGGTGTTGGTGGAATTGGTCTTGTGATTGCAGGTCATCCACTAGATACAATTAAGGTGAGAAATATTCATCCTATTTTGGTGCATTGCATACATATACTTGATGCATTGAATACTATACGCGCGACACGCTTCACAATTATCAACGAATGTTTGAAGTATTAAATCAATTATATTATTTTTCTGTAATATACTGTATGTAAATACTTGAAATGTTTCAATTTAGAAGCTTAAGGGCTGTATATTTTATAATACCGCCATTTCCAAAGGAATTTTGCTATATCATTGGAAATATCTGGGGCAAAGCACTAGATCTCATTTGGCTTAATATCGAATAGAGAGAATCATACAGATTTTAACATTAGGAAAATATGTGAACGTATGCATGTGAGATTGAGCTTTGCCAGTTCTCTGAACATGCATTTTCCCCATGATTTTGTTCAAAGTTGAACTGGAAATTCAAATCAGAATTCTTTAGGTCCATCACAGTTGGATGTCATACTGTATAAGATGGCCAGGAATCATGATAAACATCAAAGGAAAGGGAAATCTTTCAAAGATGTGCATGAATAAACACACATACTTGTAAAACATTACAGAAATTCTCTTCTCTAAATCACTGGGGTAATTTGACTTCCTCATGGTCATTCATTGTGGGTGATGTCAATAAACTTGGCATCTGGTGTCGTAATCTCTTAATAATTAATATACCCTAAAGTTTACCTTGACCACAAGAATGAATGCACATGAGGTAATCAAACTGAAGTCAATGATGCATGCAAACAAAGTAATTTACCCAGTGAATCCCGGCCTGGTAATGCCTCCTGTATTTGTGTGTTTCCATCCCATTTGTATGCCCTTGAGTTGTATCTTCAGAGATGGCCAATGATAGGTGCAAGTCAGAGGGTGCAAGTATAGTATTAGCCATTCCGAAGTTGATGAGAGGACTGGGGACAAGTGTTAAAAAGTGCCCAAATTAAGAAATGAACCAAATAACTAAAAAGACGACCTCAAAATTAGTAAGTACGCAAAGTTTGAAGATGTTTACATGAATACCCTTCGAATAATAAGTTTTCGAAAATCGTGAGATTACTGATTAAAGGATATTGGCAACCAAAATTTTTATTGCTTCATCTGAAAGAGCATGAAAAAATAAAACTGGGAACGACATTGTTACCTTCAGGGCGCGAAATAACGGCCGGTCAACGGACAATGTCCGGCCAGAATGCGGAATTGTCCGCTCAAATTCTTACCTTGCCGGTCATTTTGACCGATCACTTTCGGTAAAAAAAAAAAACAACTGATCTTCATTTGAATTAATAATCAAAACAAAGTTGTCAAGCATTATAATTAAGAACCATAACATGTTGTCCAATATCTAGCGGGAAAAGAACTTCAATGTACGCCAGCTTTCCCATGCAGTACGTCACAAAGCCCATGGCCATGCTTTTGGCTTAAAGAGTTAATTAAGGCCATTGTTTTAGCGCAGTGCAAGTTGTTTTATGTGAAGGAGTTTTTAATTACTGATTACAGTAAGGCTCAGTTTTTGTAATGCTATACTGGGAAAATAGTCACATTTTTAGGGGTATACTTTACTATGCTTAAGCTGAATAATTTGACCGGCCAGAAATTCGGTATGTCCGAGATAAAATTGAATTGGTCGCTCACCTTGACCGGCGATCCTCCAGCCGTTATTTCGCGCCCTGACCTTGGCAACAAAATTAGAAGCGTTTTTCAATGCGTCTCATCATGTACAATCAGTATGCAAAATTTCATTTGATTTGGGCCCATAATAACTGAGCTATGCTTCAGTTTACTATTCAACAAACATACTTACCCAACTAATGACGTCACACGTTGTGCTGAATCAGCAATTTATACTTTGCACATTTTGAGTATAACTTCGGAACTAGATGAGATAGAATAGAGCATTAAACAGCCAACCGGCTTATTTTTTCATGCTCTTTCAGATGAAGCAATAAAAATTTTGGTTGCCAATGTCCTTTAAAATATTGTTTTGGGGACATGCATCCCAAAAACAAAAATTACAATAAATTTCATAGTAAATATCACGATTTTCAAAAGCTTATTATTCGAAGAATATTCATGTAAATGTCTTCAAACTTTGTATACTTACTAATTTTGAGGTGGTCTTTTTAGTGATTTGGTTCATTTCTTAATTTGGGCACTTTTTAACACTCGTCCCCAGGCCACTCATCAACTTCAGAATGGCTAATTAAGATACCCAAGATTTAGGTGTCAAAATATGTCAAGGTTTCTACAACTGTAAACTAACATGGTCAGACTCTTGCAAATATTCAACTTTTTTAGTAGTTTTTCCACATCCGTATTGGAACCAGTTTATATTTTCTGTTTGGTGGTCACCATCTGCACATTAGCTTGAAATAAATAATCTTCTTTATTAACATTATCCAGGTCCGTCTACAAACCCAGCCGAAAGTGGCTCCTGGTGAATTGCCACAGTTTGCAGGAACATTGGACTGTGCCAGAAAAACTGTATCTAAAGAGGTATTTACCATTTATTACCATCAGCTAGGTTACATTGCCACTCAAACGGTTAAGATGGCTTGATTTAAAACTACAGTTTATGTCAGTAGATTGATTTTACATATTAAAAGGCTTTAATGAATATAAGTAGATCCGTTTCTGATGTACTTGAAGAAAGGATTTTGGAAGAAGTCAGTCGACACAGAAACCTGACGTTTAGTAAATTAGCGAGAATACTGGACATTGTAGAAACAAAACGTTCTTTATTTCCAGTCAAAGGCAAAATACTTATATAACTTGAAGTCTGCTGATCAGCTGGGGCTGGTTGTATAAAAATGTACACAGTTAAAGTTAACTGCAGTTAGTGTTATACACTTTTATACAACCGACTTAACTACATGATTAAAGTTAGCTACAAAACAGGTACTGTAGTTAAATAGTAGTTAAGAGTTTCATAAAACCGCCCCTGGCGTTAAAAATGTGATGATATTAATACCTGTTTAGTGTAAGAAGTAAGGAAACCAAGATGAGCTGGATTTGTTTGAAGACGACAATCCCATTATGACATTAAAAACACAGGCTGACCTAGATAGAAGTAAATTCACTAACGAAAAACGGGGAATGCTCAGTAAAGCTAAAGAAGATAGTGTTGCAACGAACAAGGCAACCTCGTACCCAGGTTCTCAATCTTCGTTCCTACCTCGCTTGAATTGAGAACAAGGTGGATTTGAATATCCAACTCCAATAATTTTTAAAGACAGCATGATGAAAATTCATTTAGAACACACAAAGTATGAGGAAAGAAAGGTATAAGGAAAGAGAAAGTATAAGGAAAGAGAAAGTATAAGGAAAGAAAGGTTACGGAAAGAATAAAAAGCTGGAAGTAGAAATAATTAAATGGGAAATTTTTCAGACAAAAAGATGAAAAGAATGAGTAGAAATTGTTAAAATGGCTGGAATTTTGTGAATTCAAAAGGGAGAGTAAAAGGTTCATTCTGGCAGCCCAGGACGTGACATTTTTTTCAAGTTTTAAAAGACCTATCACAGGCAAACCAAGAAATCCTGGATTTGCTAGCCATGCTTGTCAACTTAAGGCGCTGAATAACTGCGGGATAAGGGTCGGTTTGCTGATTGGGATTATATATGTAATATATACATGCCGCTTGTTTATGGTCTCTTGGTGTTGCATTGAAAAAGTAATGGCATCAATACTACGTACTGTACATCTTTGGTGTAAGAAAAAAAAAGCAAATGCACATTGAAAAGGATATTGGTTGGCATGGTTTTCTCGCCTCCCATAATGATCACATATTGTCTTTTCATAAATATCATTGTGGGAGGAAAAAAAACGTGTCCAAGTTTTACTCAGAATATCGATAAGTGAAAAACACATCGACTTGTGGGCAAGTCTAACGGCAATGTTGTAATTAGATCTATCGTTTGTTTCTTGGTGGTTCGTCACGCAGCATAGATCTCATAGATTTTGAGGTCCACCAAATCTCATTTTCGTAAATCCTGAGTCGAGGGCTTAGTGAAGATGGAACGGGGAGTCGATGTCGCAAGACGTGAGATGGAGACAAATGAACTGGAATCTGTAAAGGCAAAGGCTGAAATTTGGTAATCTTGAACAGTTTTTCGTTTGATGGTTTAATTTTTCAGGTGGTTCCAAGAATGGAACGCGGACATCTTGTGTGGATAGAATATGGTTTGCCATCTTGACATTGCAAAGAAACACACAAACATCAGCTTCCTAATCCCATGTGATTTCATCCAGGCTAGCAAGATTCGCCGAACGTCCTAAGCTAACGTAAACTATGGAGAGAGTGTGGGACCGTTGTTGCAAATCGATGGGAATTTGATGTGAGAAAGCGTGTTCTAAACTTAAACCGATTTTATACTTGACAGAACCAATGGGGTAACTCATTTGGGCCGCGCCCGGAAACGACAGGGGCACATTAGCGAGCATGTCAAGGTGGGGAAGTTGAAAGGTTGGAGTGTTTGAGCGATTATTACAGCTTCTATCCGTATAGACAAGACAAACCTTTCACCTACTACACCCCCCCCC